GGTGCAGTGTCCGGGGAGATGTCGAACAAGGCTTCCTTTCCATCTTGGATATCTGGTGGGTTAGGCATAGGGATTTGAGGTGGTTGCCCAGCCATAAAGACTTCTCTAGAGTGTCTTGTGGCCAAGTGAGTTCCAAATTCTACAGTCATCGCGATGTCCAAGATCTCTGTAGAACCGTGATCATTGTTGTCCGCTGGAAGAGTTCTGCCGTCCTGATAAGGCAAGAGTTCCACCATGCTGACTAGATGAGATGGATCTGTTAAAAAAGTGCTAGGTCGAACACCCGGCCAATGAACGATACCTCCTTCGGGTGTAATGGATATAACCAAACCTCTCTGGGCTCCCATAAGAGTGATCTCCTGCTCAGACTTCACGAGGTAGCTGATCGTATATTGATAGATTGAAGCTGAGTTCTTTGAGTCCGAGTGGAAAACGAACTAGGTCTTCGTGTTGGACTTCAGATGGGATCTCTAGCCCGGACAAGGGTGACATGTCTGAGCAGGAGTCGTGGTTGACGGTGACCTCCTGAGTTCGAGTTAGATTAGAGATTGAGAGCTGCAAAAAATTCTCGGTGAGTTGATCCAGCGTGGTCGTCGAGATGTCTGGTGAAACTTGAGGCGCCGGGATCTCCATGAGACAACTTTGGAGCTTGGCATTGTCGTCTACCTTGTAGATCCAGGAGCCGAAGATGAAGGTGATACCCGCTGAGAAAATCATGTCATCGAGGTCCGTCGAGCTCTCGATCGCGAAGTTGCTGAAAGCCCCTACCTGGCGTGCCAGCTGTCGGTGTTTGATGACCGGCAACTCATCATGGGGTTACCCAGGACGATGTTCGAAGGGCTTTGGCGTACACAGAACTCGATAGTAAATGCAAAGAGGCGAACGATTTATACTGGTTCGGGCCCTCTTGTCGAGTAATAGCCTTTACGTCCAGTCGGCGTATAGCCTTTTGCGTTAGATTAATTGTATGATTGTTAGGGTTACAAGGGGGTGTATCGTACCTCCTTTATATAGGGGAGAGGGTAAGGGCACGTACCAAGTCCTAATCGATTACAAGAGAAGAGTCGTAGTCCTATTACAGAATCTAGCTTTCATAGTAAGCCGACTAAGTCGATCTGGAATAGCTTGAAGTCCACGCCACCTTGTCTCGCGTCCTTCAATAGATCGTGGGCCATACCAGGGCCCATCCAAATAGTACCCCTATGGGGAACCCCTAGGATCCTGGTCCGTCATACGCACGGGGGCTACAGTAAGTGGACAAAGTGCATAACACAAAGGAAAAACAATATCAAGAAGAAAAGGGATAAGTCAACTCAATAACGACCACCGAGCGGTCCAAACCCATCTAAACACATGTGAATCTATACGAGGTACCCGACCACAAGTGAGTCCGTTGTGCTCGACGGGGTGCTTGATCTCAAGTTGGTCCAAGGTACTCAGTCTATTATTATTTGTGCTTGATCGTAATAGGGTCCGTTGTACTCGACGGAGTACTTGATCTCAAGCGAGCTCAAAGTACGTTACGAAGTACACCATCATGCGAGGTTTCGTTGCGCTCGACGGAGTGCTGACCTCAAGTGATCGAAGTACTCATTAATTTCGAAGTGCCCATCATGCGAGGGTCCATTGCACTTGACGGAGTGCTTGACCTCAAATGATCAAGGAACTTGTTAATATTTTCCAAAGTACCATCACAAGAGACCCATTGCGCTTGGCGTAATGTTCGATCTCAAGTGATCAAAGTACTCTAAATCAATAGGTCACAAAGTACTCATTTTATTTTCACCAAACCCGAATACAATGCTCGGGGGCTGCCCCCAAACATTTTGGCCTGAGTATGATGGCTGCGGCGCCCTAATTATCATATTTGCGAGTCAATTTTCTACTTTGCAGATTATCTATTACTGTTCATCAGATCGCGCCTGTCATGCTCTTATATTTCAGATAAGTTTTTTGCAAACAACTTTTCAAGTTTTCTTTTTTGTAATATTTTGCTCTACTCTCTACTCGGTTACCTATTAACCCGAATAGAGAGTCGGGGGCTACTACAATGCTCATATCATATAACCAAAAGTAGCAGCAAATCGAGCTATTTATCAAGTGTGCTTGTTTAACGGGACTCACGCACAGAGGACCGCTTGAGTCTCAGCTGCTAACACCCCGAACAAACTCTGCGTACTACCAAAATAGCCTGAACAAGCTAAAGGTACGTCGTTTGGTTATATTGATTAATTCCCATTCAAATAAGAATTTTTACTCTGTTATTTTCTTCCAATAATTTTCTGTATGTAAAACCTCTCGACTTCTCACTCAAGGGGCTGGTTACTAATTATTGCCTTAGTAATTTGAAACAGGGTCTATAGTCCGCCCGAACTTGTGTTCGGAAGGCTCCATCGACCACCCGAACCTACCTACGCTGATCATTCACTAGCGTGACTCTAAGATGAAGCGTGTTCTTTCTTATCCTAAAGCGATTCTGGGTGTTTAAAGTTTACTACATGGAATATATAGCATAACAGACCGCTGTGCTATAAATTCCCGGATATACACACTGGATAGCCAAAGGAAAAGACGAAAAATCACCACATCATTTAGAGTCCCGATGCTGAACATGGCTAGCATTACTAGAGGACAGCTCGGGGGCTGACAGCCAACTCTCAACAAAAAAAATACTCGGTCGCAAAGTACCCGATTGCGAAGTATCCGATCACGAGAAATTTCAAGAATAAATTTCTCCAGATGTAGAGGACTAGATTGTGAGCACCCGATCAAGATGCCAGATCACCAAGTCCCCATCAGCCAACAAGCAAGAGTACGGACGATCCGTATAAACCAGTTGTGGATATCCTTGATACTTCGGCATGCGTACATGGATGGTGTCCCGTCTCCCGGCATCCGTACAAGCATGAGACAGACTCAGTGCCCCGGCGCTTGCAAAGCCGAGTCATCGGCAGTGTCCCGTCTCCCGTGGCTAGCCGCGTGGGCCCAACGCCGGAGTCATGACCTGCTTCTCGTACGAGGACGTTCGGTTCCCAGCATGCATAGTCGAGCAAATTAGACAATCAACAACTACAAGCAAGAAGCAAGCCGCCAAGTGAGCCGATCGAGTCGCAAGCGAGCCGTCCGAGCCGGAAGCAAGCCGCCGTCGTGCCGCAAGCAAACTGTCGACGAGCCACAAGCGAGCCGTCCGAGCCACCAGTGAGCCGCCGTCGAGCCGCAAGCTGTGGTGTCCGACTACTCAGCCGTGGTGACCAATTACTCGCCCACAAAGGTCAAGCTGATGCTCGGGGCTCCCAAGCCCGAAACGCCGGGATCGGGCACTGACTCCTCTACTCGGCCATTGACTAGAACAAGAGCTCAGGGCTGATAATAAAGCTCCAGGCTATAAAAAGCTTGATCGCAAAGTACCCGATTGCGAGGTACTCGGTCACAAGTAATACCGAGATGAAAAATATTCAGAATTAGAGAACTAGATTGCGAGCACCCGATCTCAAGGTGCCCGATCACAAAGTTTTCAAGACTCTCAGTGACTACCAAATGTCTGATCTCAAAAGATCCCGAGACATATAACAAAACTACCGGGGGATGATACTGTTCAAACAAGCTCATCTCTCAAGAGCTAACTTTCTGACTTCCACTGTTCGGGTCTCCGCTCGAGAGTGGTTACTTGGAGTTCCCCGAGAACCGAGTGCAAACCACCCGACTTAAAAAGTCCCGAACACAAGCGAGCGGTAAGTTATGTAGAGAGAACAACCCGGGTATCGCACTAGAACAAGCTCATCTCCCAACAACACACCTTATCGATCTGCACAGATCGGAATTCTCAATCACGGCTGGTTTCTCGGGCTACCTCTTGGTACCCAAATTACAAACCACCCGACTAGGATAATTCCGACTACTCGCAGACGGCCAAGTTGCGTTTGACAGACAAGCTTGGGGGCTTATGTCGATGCCATACCTCCGGGTATCCCGACTACAGGATTTGTTGAACAACGACTCCGGATTAGAAGAGACCCAACCAGGCGTGACGACCCTATTTGAGGAAGGATATCTCCGGATTACACCAAGACTCTGATTGGGACACGACTACTTAGCTTGAGGGGCAAGTTGATCCCGGATATAAATAGCTAGCAATACCCCATGTTGTAATCATCCAATCTCACATAGGCATAGCCATCTTGTACTCGCAATCTCGCCGAATACATAATACAAGAGTAGCAACTGGACGTAAGGCTTTTACTCGCTTCCCGGGGGCCCAAACCAGTATAAATCTCATGTCTCTACTGTGATTGATCTTTGCACCAAGCGGAGTTCCCCAAGAACCAAAGATCTGGCGGTAAAAAAACAACGCTTAGGTTCAAAAGAAAAAACATCAATCGCTTGACTGGCATTCTTTTTTTCGATTACTTGAAGGGCATTCTTAGCACAATAATGTTTGCAAACAAACCAAAAGTGAGTACCGAGGACTAGGATCTTGAACACAACTCTTGAATTGCCTCGGCCCATGGCCCATATATAGGGACCAACAAAGGTGTTACCAGAGCACTGGCCTCTCCCGAGAAGATGGATGAAGGCGTTGCCGCAAATCAGGATGGCGATGGGCTGACCAAAAGGGCCAGAAGGCCAAACCCAAGAGTAATGGGCCCTGCGTAGTTGTAGTGGGCTGCAACCCATGTAATGAGAGACAAGTAGTCATAGCCGTGGAGAAGGGGAAGTTCGACTTGTATTCGGCTAAGGCACCGCACGGCAGAGCCGACAGCGGTGACGATGGAGCTAGCTGTGGCGAGGCTCCGACGAACGCAAGTTCTACCCACTAAACTATCCAATACTATGTCGTGGTTACTGGTCGGTAACATCTGGTATCAGATCTTCGACCCTAGCATCACACTCCTACCTCACCCGACAATAGATGTCCATGGCGTCGCCGGAGGAGCAGTTAGGCCAGATCCTGGCACTGCTCGGAGAGAATTCGAAGGAGGGTCCAGGAGCTTCGCAGTTCGATGGTGGAGATGCGGGCTATATGCACTAACATCAACACTTGGAAGCCCTTGGTTGACAACCGCGTCAGCGAGCTGGAGAGCACGGTGATGGATCTCGACGAGCGCATGGAGCAGGCACTCGGAACTCAACTTCCGCAAGCTCGGCCGGTAGAGCTCTCTGCGGCGGCGCAGGCGGGCACTGTCACCATCGCCCAACCTCCTCCGACCATGACTCCGGGGGACCCCTCTGCCTCCACGAGCATGAAGGTGCCGGGCTCCGCCCATCTGGAGCCTACCCTGCCGAGGGTGGCATCTGGTTCTATTGACCATGGCGAGGGTCATACTCACCTGTGTGCTGGCTTAGGCGTGGTGTATACCACTGCCCCGGACCCTGCCCTGGTCACAGGTGTGCCAAATTCCTCAAATCTCTCTACTCTGCAATTCGGTTTGATTGGTTGTACACCTAGTGGACTGGCTCTAAATTGGAATTCTGCTATACCTCCAATTGAATTCCCCAAATTCGACGGTAGTAATCCCAAACTCTGGATTAGGAATTCCAAAACTTTTTTTATCTCTATTCTGTGCCTGAGCATCGATGGGTCAAACTCTCCACCATGAACTTCATTGGGTCGACTTCCCTTTGGGTTCAGACTATTCCTGCTTTCACTTGCGATCTGTCTTGGAATAAGTTGGGCACAGCCATCTGCAGTAAGTTTGATCGGGATGAGCACGATCACTTACAGCCAATTTTTCCATTTTAAACAAACTCGTACAGTCACAGAGTATATTGAAGCCTTCAGCGATACTGTCCACCAATTACTTGTTCATAACCCCCATTTAGATCCTTCCTTTATTACAAATCGTTTCATCGATGGTTTACGTGATGATACTAAGGCTGTAGTTTTGGTACAGCGCCCCCATGACATCGATACTGCTAGTTCCATTGCGCTTTTGCTGGAGGAGGTCCTGACCGGGACGAGCAAGCGTGAATTTCTCTGTATGAACAGTTCTTATGGCAAGAAGGTGTCGATTGATGGTAGCAAGTCTTCTATGCAGCCGTCTCCACCTTATACTAAGAGTACATCCTCTAATCGAGCTGACACTCGTCCACCAGAAGGGTCTGCTTCCAAGACACCTGCCGAAGCTATGGTGGACCTCAAGTCGTATCGCCGAGCTAAAGGTCTTTGTTTCAAATGCGGCGAGAAGTGGGGTCCTTGTCACAAATGCCCCAAGGCTATATCCCTCAATGCTGTGGAAAAAATATGGAAATTGTTCGATGATGTTTCTGACTACTCTCCTGATTGTCCAGCTGTAGACAGTGATTCTGGCGATGATTTGATGCATATCTCTGTACAAGCTATCAGGGGCACAAGAACTATCAGGGGTTTAGATTCCAAAAATTTCAGATACCGTCACATGCCAAGATGCGGCATATGCAGAACTATCAGGTTGAAATAGGGTTACCTAATTAGCATAATTGCTCACAAGAAATGCTACAGTGAACCAAAATCCAAATTTTTTGATCTATATGCTCATTGATTCTGGCAGCACCCACTCATTTATTAGTGAACAGTTAGCTGCGTCTATACCTTGTTGGACAGCTCTGAATCATCCAATTCAAGTCAGGGTGGCTAATGGCAGTATCATTGACTGTACTCATCAACTGAAGAATCAAGTATGGGGTGTCAGTGGGTATACCTTCAACACTACTTTAAAGATTATTCCACTTAACAGCTATGATATTATCTTGGGCATGGATTGGCTTTAGCAAAATAGTCCAATGAAAGTCCACTAGCACGACAAGTGGCTCCAATTTTCTCAGGGTGCCTCTCTAATCACTCTTAAGGGCATCTGCAGTACTGTTACCATGGGGCCTCCTATCACAATTCACTAGCTTCAAGCGTTGGTCAAAGATGATTATGTTTTATATCAAGTACAAGTTATCTCTGATTCTGCACATGTTATGTCTGTGTTACCTGCTGAAATTCAGGCACTCATGAAAGAGTTTGTAGACATATTTGAACCTGTCTCTGGTTTACTTCCTAGTAGACTAGGTGACCATACTATTCCATTGCTTCCTGGGGTGCAGCCCTTCAAACTCAGGCCTTACACATATAACCCGGCACAGAAGACAGAGATAGAGACAAAAATCAAGGAGATGTTGGAGAAAGGGCTTATCCACCTCGGTAGCACTCCATTCTCTTCGCCTGCTCTTTTGGTCAAGAAGAAGACTGGAGATTGGAGGTTATGTGTCGACTATAGGAAGCTCAATGCATTTACAGTCAAGAACAAACACCCATTACCAATTATAGATGAGATATTGGATGAACTTGGTGGAGCATCTAGGTTCACATCATTGGATCTCAGTTCTGGCTTCCATCAGATCAGATTGGCACCTGGAGAAGAGTATAAAACTGCCTTCCAGACCCACAATGGTCACTATGAATATCAAGTCATGCCTTATGGAGTTACTGGTGGGCCAGCCACATTCCAATCTGTGATGAATCATGTTCTTGCTCCATTCTTGAGGGTGTTTGTGATAGTCTTCATAGATGACATATTAGTATATAGTTCCTCCTGGTCTGAGCATTTACATCATATCAAACTTGTGTTTGAGGCATTGAGACAGCACAAGTTTGAAAGGTCCTAATATGGCTAGAGGGGGGTGAATAGCCTATTTAAAAAATCTACAAAGCACTAGAGCAATTGATTAGTACAACAAATGGTGTAATGCAATTTTGCTCTACCTCTACAAGGGTTGCAAGCCACCTATCCAACAATTCTAGTTTCTATGATCACTAGGCACTCAACAAGATAGGTCACTACTCACTAAGCTAGTGTGCTCTCAAAGACTAACTAAAGAGCCACACTAACTAAACTAACAAGCTCTCAAAGACTAACTATACTAAAGAGCTTGACAACTAGTTTATAAGGAATGTAAAGGAGTGAGTAGGATTATTATACCGCCAAGAAGAGGAATGATCCAATCACAAGATGAAGCCAATCAATCACTGAGAGAAATCCAATCACACAAGAGACATAAGATTTTTCTCTCGAGGTTCACGTACTTGCCAGCACGTTAGTCCCCGTTGTGTCGACCAACACTTGGTGGTTCGGCGGCTATAGGTATCACACACCTTGCCAACAAATGGTGCCACAAGAACCTACCCACAAGTGAGGTAACTCAATGACACGAGCAATTTATTAGAGTTGCCATTGGCGCTCCACCGGGGAAGGCACAAGACCCCTCACAATCACCGGAGCTAGCCACGAACAATCACCAACACGTGCCGAAGCTCCTCTGCTACTCCAAGCCGACTAGGTGGTAGCAGCCACCAAGAGTAACAAGAACTCCATAGCCACAACAATCCCCAAGTGTCACTAGATACAACCACTCAAGCAAGTGCACTTAGAATTACTCCCAATCTCATTATAATGATGAATCAATGATGGATATAAGTGGGAGGTGTTTGCTTAGGCTCACAAGAATGTATCACAGGTGAAAATATCCAAGAGAGTGAGCCCAAGGTGCCCCAAGTCCTTTTATAGAGCCTCCTTGGCTCAAAGAGCCGTTGGGCTCTCGAAGGGCCGATCGGACCCAGTGACCGAACCTAGCCGAGTCCGGTCCTCCAACCGGCCAACCAGGGCACGCCATGTTTGCCCACGATTTGAATCCGATCGTTGCCGCCAACTCGCGTGTAGACAGCACCTCCAGACAGGATCCGGACCCTCTAGCGTCGTGGGTCCGGTCACATCCAGAGAGGTCCCGAGAAGGCCAAAACCCTCTAGACCAGGTCCGATCACAAACTGGATCTGAGCAGTCAGGGTCTGGTTCTCCTCCAGCTGCCATGTCACCTCCACATGATCACTGACCAAACGGACTCAGTAACCTAGGTCTGGTCCCGTTACGCACCTCGGCCCGAAGTCAACTACTCACGCACCCGCAGCCACCATGCCACGACCGATCTCTCGTGTGCGGGTTTGATCACCTCCAGACGCCGGGTCCGGTCATCACTGCGTGCCTGCGGCCACAGCTCAACACTGACCGGACTCAGGCTGGCTAGGGTTTGGTCCTGGCTGAGCCAGGGTCCTGTCCAAGACCAGCAACCCCTTTTCATTTTCTATCTCCTCAATCGCTTCACCCTTGCTTCTAAGTTGCTAACCACAAAGTGTATAACTCATGTGCTCGTGTGTTAGCATTTTTAAAAGCATTTTTAAGGGTTAAATGTTAGCACACTACGTACCTAAATGCATATTTGCAAGAATCATGTCACCTAGTGATACTCGATAACCGCTTAGCCAAAGATTTCTCCTCTTTATAGTATGGCTATCGATCCTAAACGCACTTACACCCTCTATGGTGTCTTAAGTGCCAAAACAAAAACCTATCCTATACCTTTGCCTTGATCTCTTTGGTTTTTTATTTTCTCTTTCTTCTTTTCCAAGTTGGAGCACTTGATCATTTCATTTATGGCTATTACCTTCTCCATGACCATCATCGAGCTCCAATACTTGGATTGGACTACCTCATCTAATTCACACACTTAGCTCAAAGGTTAGTCCTAGGGTTTCTTCAATTATCCAAAACCAAACTAGGGCTTTCAATCTCCCCTTTTTTGGTAATTGATGACAACCCTTCACAAATATATTCAATAAAAGCTTTTTGGATTCATGTTGCTTGCCCAAGCATTTTACCATGTGTAAAGGTTATAGACAAGTTTCATAAACCCGAATTGGTAGCATTAGCTCCCCCTACATATGTGCTAACAGTTTGGATTTAAAAGCTTACACATATGCATGGATTAGGAAGTGTGGGGAAGTAATGGCTACCAAATGATGCTAAGATGTAAAGAACGGACCTTTGAAGTGGGATACCAATCGGAGTTGCCATTTGAACACCATCCTTAGCACCATGATTTGCTAGATATCACTTGAAAAACTACAACCACTAGATACTTCATGAGATCAACATTAGAAACAAGGCTCTAGTACCACTTGTAAAATCAAAATCAAGGTATATCTAGCTATTCTATGCATGCTAGTTTTCATTGCATCAATTATTTTCCACAATCTAGCATACACCACACAAGCATGGATATTTGAATTTAAAAACTTGTGCCATGCAAGCAAGCATATGTAATGCACATACAAATGCAACATACAAGTCTATGAGCTTGCTCCCCCTACTTGTGTGCTTCAAATTTTAATTGATCCCCTTTTGTTTGCTCCCCCTTTGGCATCAAATACCACAAAAGGTGAGCTCAAAATTTAGATAGGTTGGGGTAAAACCATGTTATGTGAGGATTATTTTCCTATATTTGGTTCAATCTAGATCACTAGCAAAAGATTTTTAACTCGGTTTGATCCAAGGGCAAGCTTCTTCACACCTCATTTCAAGGATTATCTTGACCATGTTGAGTTAAACACTTATAGCTCATTTTCTAGATTAAACACTAGGTTCACAAGCCCACAAACATGTCATATGCTACCACTAGATCATTTCAAATATAGAAGTAATAGTGGTACAATACAAGCATCAAATCCATTTGTTTTTCATGAATGAGCCTAAGACATGTGAGGAATGACTAGATGCACTAAACAAGTCCTTAGAAATGTATGAATGATATGTCAATCAATTTTACCTTACTTTGCTCTAAGGAGAGGCATGTCATATAATGGGGGTGCATCAACACATATTTGAGAAAGTCAAGTATGTTCAATTCATTCCTTAGCTTGTAAAACCTCTTCTCATCAAGTGGCTTGGTAAAAATATCGGCAAGTTGATCATCAGGGCCCACACTCTCAACACTACTAGAAATATCCACTTCTATGACGAAAATGTTAATGACAAATCCGAAACCATCATAGAAGAGCGTTTTTTATGACGAATATTTCTGTTTCGTCATAGATCGGTGGTGACGATCCTGCAACCCTCCCTTTCTATGACAAAATTAGGCATCATCACAAAAAAACATCATAGAAGAGCACAGGGTTTTGTCACAGATCACTCACGTGACTCATCTGTGATGATCTCCTTTAAAACTGTGATGAGTAGGGCTTCATCATTGAACTAATTACACATCTGTGATGAACAATATTCGATCTGTAACTAACGACTTCGTCGTAGATCTCCACACGGTACTTTCTTCATCCGACATGTACCTATGGGACCTATAGTTACTCATTCCGTGACGCTTGCAATTCATCGTAAAAGTCTCTGCTCGATCATATCTCCATGCGACGTGTACTTGTGGGACCCTTCTCCATCCAACGTGTACCTATGGGACCTGTAGTTACTCATCCATGACGCTTGCAATTCGTCATAAAACTCTTTGCTCGGTCCTTTCTCTGTCCGACGTGTACCTGCGGGGTCCTTCAACATCTGACCTATGGGACCTGATGGCTTACATGTCACGTGTACCTGTGGGACTGTTCTCCATCTCCATCTGACTTGTGGG